ATATTAGACTGCCTGGAGACTACTAGCAATGAGGCTAATCAGTGACTTTTTTTTTATAGTGTATTGGGTTTTTTTGAGGGCAAACACATGAGTTTTTTTCATTTAGAGGAAGACAGCAGTTTATTTTCTGTAAGTTAGTGGGGTTACCATATAGTGGAACTGTATAACAGTAACAAGCTGTTTTGTAATTAAAAAAAGTTTATAAATATGTCTCTTGAGTTTTTATACTTACATCGAAAAGATTAATAGTTGGACTGTAGTGAGGACCGGTATGTACTGGGATTTTAATGTATTTTATTCTATATGGATACATTAACAATGAGATTTTTTTTTTTTTCCAAGGGAGGCGGGTGGAGAGCAAAAGTCTTTCCAGTGTCTTCCCCACAGTTTTATTTCTGATATTCCCTAAAGAAGGAACCTCAAAGCAGTTACTATCAATAGAGAAAAACTACTTACTACTTCTCAGTCCAGAAGTGCCATCAAATGCCAGAGTGAGAAATTGTTCCCTTTTAGCTGTTTAAATTCTAACTACCTCAGGTCAGTAGCTGTTCTCAGCCATTGTTACATTACGTGGGGAAGAGCCCTTTACAAGATCTGTTTAATCTGGCAGCTGGTTAGCATTAGAACAGTTTTCAAGTTCCTGTTGACGATCTTTAGTAGTAGTCGATGGGATAGTTTTGGGTTTTCTTAACCATGAATTAAATTTCTCTTCATTTGTCCGCGTGCTTTCAGGAGCTCCTCCGTTCTTGAGACCTCCTGGCTTACCAGGACTGCGTGGCCCTTTACCTCGACTTCTACCACCGGGTCCTCCACCTGGGCGACCACCTGGCCCTCCCCCAGGTCCCCCACCAGGTCTGCCCCCAGGTCCTCCTCCACGTGGGCCTCCTCCTCGCCTGCCCCCTCCTGCCCCACCAGGTAAAGTGTTCTTTTTGCTTCAGTGCCAAGTCTCTCCCTGCTTTATTTTCCCAGTTTCTGCTGTGGTGACCAAGCCAGGAAGTATAAGTGGTTACCAGTTTGCCTTTGTTCCTGTCTGTGTGGTTGCATTGTGCTGTATCTTTTTCTCTGTAATAACAACAGATAATTCCATACTGCTGTGTGCAATTTGGTTGCAAGAAATCCCTCAAAAAGGGAATTTCAGAATTTAAACTTCTTCTGGACTCTTTCCGAATAACCCCCGGGTGCTATAATAGTGCTCCGCTTGATGAGGGATATTTATTTTTGATATTTATTATTGATAGGGATATTTATTTTTTCTGCCTGGTCAGACATTTCTGATGACTCTGAAGTTCCAGTGGGATGGATCATCAAGAAACTTTATTTTCAGATTATAACTTTAAAATTTGAAAGGGAGCAATACACAGGCTTCTGTAGGTTTCGAAGTGTGAGGAGCAGCAGCTTTTTCAGCGCGGCATTTGGTGCAGTGTTGAAAACATTTTTTATTTTTTAAAGCTAGTGCTACTGCATCTTGGTTTTGGGGGGGGGTTGGTTTTGTTTTGAGGTTGGGTTTTTTTTGTTCTTTTTTTTCTTTTTCCTTCTTGGCTTTCTGAGCCTGTGCAGTTGTTGACCAAAGATTTTAAGACTCCCAGGTGTGGAGTCAGTTCATACTTTGTTTTCTTCTCACAGGTATCCCTCCTCCTCGCCCAGGCATGTTACGGCCACCCCTGGTGCCTCCATTAGGACCTGCTCCACCTGGGCTCTTCCCACCAGCTCCCATTCCAAATCCCGGAGTACTGAGTGCCCCACCCAGCTTGATTCAGCGCCCCAAGGCGGATGACACCAGTGCGGCCACCATTGAGAAGAAAGCTACGGCCACTATCAGTGCCAAGCCGCAGATCACTAACCCCAAGGCAGAGATCACTCGCTTTGTGCCCACTGCCTTGCGAGTGCGCCGAGAGAATAAAGGGGCTTCTGCTGCCTCCCAGAGAAAACAGGATGACGAGCCTGCTCTCCCGTTAACCAAAGCTGCCCCTAAGGCTGGATCATCTGCCCCTATCTCTGTACAGACAAAGGATGACGTGTATGAAGCCTTCATGAAAGAAATGGAAGGTCTCCTGTGACCTGTCGTAGTCCTAGTTAGCTTTCCTGCCCCTCCACGCAGATCAGACCACCGCGGAGGGAGGAGAAGGAAAGGATCTCCTGCAAGCAACAAAAGGGCTCGCGTGACAGGGAATAGTTCCCTACCCACAGGTTAACTTGCCAGTATGCTCTGAATAGAGACCGCTGCAGATGAGGTGTGGCTGGGGACCTCCTTTCAGAGCTAGCGTGTCCCCTTGGTGGAAGGAAATTACAGTCAAGAAAGCGATGCTGCGTTCCTCGAGTCCTCCCCCTTCCTTGGAGGGAGATAGTGATACTCTGGGGAGGAGGAGCGTGGGGGGTCACTATGCTCTGTCTGAATCCTTGCACATCCTGAACACTGGGAGGGTAGCGGAACGGGTTTTTAAGGAGCCAGAAAAGTGTTAGCAGCGTTTCATACACATATGGTTGTCCAGTTTTTATTTTCTGTACTGTTCTTTTCTGTAAATATTTTATAATCCTGTTTTTTAGTTGCAGTGAGATTGATCAATCATCTTTCTTCCAGGGTAGTCAGGGAGGTAATTTGTTGCGTATACTGTACACTGGAATTTTGCACCCTGTCCCCTTTATGGTCATCTTGATGGTTTTTCATTGGCAGGGGAAACTTCATTTTGTCTTGTGAAAGACAATAAATGTTCAGTGTATCAAAATCCTGGTTTGCTTGTGATCTGTCTAAAAGTAATATGTAGATGTAAAGGGGGGAGATTCTTTGCTGACCTTGTGGGAAGGCAGAGGTGTTATGAACCTCAGAAAAGAAAAGCAATAGCTACATTATAAATAACATACACTTTTTTTTTTTAGCTAAAGTTCTGCCATATTTTTTGGGTTTAAGTTTCTAAACATCCCTTTCAGCCTTTGTTGGTAGCTAGTAGAAACTTGTCCTGAAGTGCTACTAATAATTACAAAGCAATTTCTTTTATATACTCTTATTGAAAGGTTTATGTTATATCAAGCCTCAGATAACCCACTGGATGCATCTTGGACAGACTACCTTAAGTAAAAATTGGCAAACAGTTTTAATTCTAAGAGCTTTACAGGTAATTTTAGTGGTGGAAAATCTCTGATTTCAAATTCCATGAAGTTAGTGATTATTAAAGTGCAGATATTTTTAAAAAAGGACTTTCAAATTTCCAGCTTAAAGCATTTTTTTTCTGTTTCGGTGGAAGTATTCCTTTAGCTTTATTCACTGTGCTGACGGAGCCAAATATTCCAGTAACCATTACCATGTGCAAGAAGGAAACTTTTATTCTCATTTGAAACGGACTGCAAAATCTCCTGGGGTCTTGTAAACAAATCGGTTTTAAGACCAGTGGGATCAGTTGTGTTGGTAATAAATCTTTCTCAAATGAGCTGCTGCTGCAGAGAGATAATTGCATTTTTGAAATATTTAAGTTTTGTCTGGAATGCTGAATTGGAGTATAAGACTAATATTAGTACTTAGCTATTTATGTAGGTGTCTTCATCCTGTTACAATATTCGCTTTTTTTTTTTTTTTTTAAGTGTGACAGAGCATAAAAGAACAAAAAGAGCTTTGGGATTCTTCTCTGTAATACCACCTCCATCTTGGGGTCACATTTTTCATCCGTGGCCCTGAGTAGTGTTCACAGAAAAAGAAATCATCATGGGGAGAAAAAGGGGCAGAAAGAAGGGATGTGACTTGCCCGATGGATCAGAGAAGATTAGTGGTGGCACAAAGATGGAAACATGGAAAGATTCCTGAGA